CTTTGTGTCTCTCTTTTCCCGCAGACGGAATGCCAGGCTTCTTTCTTCGCGGCCGATGCTTTGCGGTCGATGCTGATTTATGACGGTTGAGTTAAGCGATTTCCGCGCAAGGATACCCTGACAAAGTGGCTCCGGATGATTATCCGTATCTCCCGAAGAGAGAGAGAGAGAGAAAGAGAGAGAGAGAGAGAGGGCGAGACGGAAATAAGAAAGTGTATGCGGTTTTTTATGCGTTCGCCGTAACTTGCTCGTCGAATGCATTATCTGAAAAGTTTGTGAAACGATTTATCTGAGACGGTGAAACAGCGAGTCTCCATCATTAATGTCATATCACAATATTCGCATAAACCTTTTCTTTTTCATCTTGCTTTATCTTGTATCGTTATAAAAAATGTGAGAATTGTATGTATAAAAATCAATTTGAATTTTTGAATTATGTAAAATTCCGAAACTTAAATCAAATTTTTCCTGGGAAATTCTGAAAATCTCGAAAGTAAAGATTTTAAAGAAATGCAGGTAGCAAAGAGTACGTAGATGAAAGTCTGTTAAGAAAATTTACCGCATATTTGCTTTCGATATCTTCGGAGAATCTGACCTGAGAATTTCTTGATCGGTACTTTGTGCTCTTCCTCGAATTGGAGATTAGAAAAATTCGACATTTTTTAGAACATAAATCGGTCAAAGATTATCACATATTGGTTATCTTGTTCCTTTCTCTTATCGGTGTATGCTAAAGAATTATTTCCATTTCTTTCAAACAACATAATTTTTTTTGTCTCTCTTTTTTGATTTGTGAGGTACCAAGTAAATTTTATCCAACTCTATATCACTCTATATGATCAGGAATCCTAATCAAAAATTATATAATGAATGATAATACGATGAATGTGAACAATACATAATTTGTGAAGCTATTCAAATGCTGCACGTTTCGCATTTATGATCAATGAAAGGCGGCGTGGAAAAGTGAATGAAGCGGCAAGTTCCTCGATGATTCTTCCCTTAGAATTGCCCCCTCGTAAACTTTCTACCACAAGTGGCTCGCTGCAAAGCGCTTCAACAGATGCACTGTCAGCCACAGAGATAGGGAAAGAGACGAGTTTCTTACATAACATCGCAGCGACAACGCTAACAAAAAGCATCGTCTCTTTGCCACCGTCGTTCTGGGAAACGAGCATTTATCGTTGTCCCACTTATGTGCTGCGTGCTGATTCTCGTCTTAATCGAGATTGAAAAATCTATTATTGATAAGCTCCAAGTATATAAAACAATAAAGGCGCTTTTTACCTGGTCAACATCTTTGTATTTAATTATCATAGTTTATTATTTATTATGTATATTTTTATTGTATTTTATGTTAATCACGATTTCTAAATTATTATATATTGCTAGTTCTTCGTCAACTCATAAGTTTATGTCACGCTATTTTAATTTTACGAGGTATTATCACACAGATTGCTAATTGCTCCATAAGCCCGCCTTTTTGATTGAAAAATCTATTGTTTTTGCAAAATATAAGCTTCCCGGAATTGCGGCATTAATTAGAACGTTTCTTTAATTCTCTCGATGTTATTATTATTTTTCATTTTAATTTTCTTCAAATGCACGCGCAATATTTCATTGATTCCTCACACTTATGCTAGATCAGGCTCCGAATCTATCATGCTTTTATACACATAAACACATTTAATAAAAAAGAAAATTTTATTTCATTTTAATTTATCTATCATTTTATCTACCATTTTATCTATTTTATATATCTATCTTTTACAGAAAGAATTACTCTTTATTTGCATCAAAATTCCATTCTAGCTATCTATTTAACCTCGTTTCAATTTAATCGGCTAATTTTATCGTTCGGTTTATCTAATCAACGTTCGATCAAATCTCTCTCCAATATTATTATTCAACTCCGAGTCTTGTTATGATTACGAGAGGTGAAAAAGAGACGAGAAAGCAGAGTCTGCCAAACTCGTGTCAAGCTACCATTTAAATCTCCACGTTTCTCTCGTGTCATTCTAACTCGCCGGCGCTCACGTGCGCGCGCGGCTCGCGATGACAGCGTCGCGCGCGTCACGTGACGCGGGTCACGTGACTCGCGTGTCACGTACGGTAGCGTCCGTCGCCGTCCGTTCTTCAGTTCAGTGCGAGCGCGACCGGCGCGCGCGATGTACGTCTATTGTGGGTTTGTGTTGTCGCTCCTCGCGCCAGCGGTCGTCGCCGGCACGCGACGTACTATCCGTTCGCGCGACCTCGGCTCTTTCGTCGCCGACCCGCCGTAACAACGACGTGCCGCAGTCCGTTTGTCCTCGGAGTAGTCTCCTCTCCTCACCTCGATAGTCGTCGATCGTCGTCGCCACGGGCTACGTGTGGACTACGTGGCGAACGGACGCCAGCGAGCGTCAGCTGGGTACGCATTTTTATCTCTCCTCGATTTTTCACCGATCGTCGCGTCGCAGGAAGATCAGAAAGATTCGAAGAGGAAAATCCGAGTTCTCTCTGATATTCTCGAATTCAAATTACGAACCTTTAAGAATGTTTGAAGGAAATTGTCGATCCCGTCAAAATTCCTTGACCAGGGATCCTGAAATAACTAGGAATAGCCGCATGCTATGCTATCGAAGGCAGACGGGTCGTTTTCCTTTCTCTCTCGCTCGATAATATACCGTATCAGCTGTCTTTGTCGTCTGGGAACGGCACATTAAGTGGTCGCTCGCGCGTACAAAGATACACGGCATGCAGCTTCCGGTTTCCGCGTAAGCTCAGGAACTAACCTGACCTGAGACGCTTCATTAAACCTATCAAAGTTTTAATTTACTCCACATTTTTTTAGTTTATTAATTTATTAATTTTTTCATTAATTTAAATTTGTTAAATATGTGATCTTTTTAGAAAGAAAGAGAGAGAAAAGAAAATAAAAGATTTTTGTGGGTTTGATTGTGTGTGATATGTTTTGCTGATGTTTGTAGCTGAAATATTTTAACTCACTTGATCGGAAGGACTCAAGATCCTTGACTCAAAGACACACTACCTGCTTTTGGAGTATGTATTCTCTGATATTTGAACATTTATGTTTGATTGTTTCTAATCTCTCAGCATTGAGTATTTACAGTTGTCTTTTCCTTCTATTTAATAAATGCAATTTAAAGAGACTTAATTACTAAATAATATTTAATATACTATATATGTACGCAATAGTTAAATATATTTGTAATTATATTCATGTGACAAAAGTAACACGGTAATATAGCGCAATAAATAATATTTTAGAAGCTATAAAGAATTAAGCCGATCCTGCATCGATCAATATTATTGAATTGATCAAAAGAGAATCGCGACGCGATATTAAATATTGCTCGAAAGATGCCGGATATTGCGCCTCTCTACACGCGCATATTGCACGCGCCCACGCCTATGCAAATCCCGCGGAATTATCGAAAGAGTGCAAGCATGGAATGTAACGTATCACCCATCCACGCACGTCTCGCGATAGTTGCACTTGTCTCGATTATATAGTTACTGCATTCGAGTCGCAAAACGAGCTTGAATGCAACGCAACAATACTATGGTATGTACATTACGGTGTATTTTGGCGCGCTTGACTAATTAGACGTTATTACGTGTTGCATAAGGTTGATCATAAATGATTAAAATGGCAATTATTGAGTAATAATTGAAATTAATGAAAATGTTGAATTTAGGATAATAATATCGTTAATTGTGTATATCTGTAAATCGCGTAACACTTGGACGCCTGAGAAAAAATGGTATAAAATGATCAGATGTAAATATACATAATTAGTTATGAAAATATGATAATACATGTAATTTTATACGATCATATAAAATTAAATATGTTATCAGATCTTTTCATAATTAATTATGTATATTTACAACTGATTATATATTTTTTTTTTTTTCGGGCAAAGTTTATTCTCTTTGAATTATCACGTATTATAGGAATATTAAAACACTTGGAGTATTATATATATGTTTTGATGATTGCATTATTTACGTCGTAAAATTTTACTTATGTAATGCGTAACTGCGTATAAATGATGTAACAACAGAGTGCAAGTATTTCGCGAAAAAAAATTTTTTTGATGTTTCGGGGTGGCTAATCTTGAAATCGATATCTTTTTTATTGATCTCCTTTAATTTATACAGAATATCCTAAGATTATATAGACATTTAACTCTGATCACAGGAAGAAAAAAATAAAAAAATATAATAGTTTAGTTAATATATGACATATACTAGTTTTATACATATATTTACATTTATATTTTCTTTTCTTATATATTAATTATTCACGGAGGAACTTACTAATGAGAGATCATTCTAGAATCACGTCCCGACACATGTATTTGCGTACAAGCTATTACACAATTATCGGACGAGTTTAATCGAACATCCATTATGCCGACCTCGAGCGGCCTCGAGCGTATCCGATAGCACCATTTCCACCACCGAGCTTGGTATCCCGCTGGTATAGAGACTGAGAATCACGCTACACGAGATACTAGAAAGCTTGATCACCTTAGGAGAATATCGGTATTCGGATAGATCCGGGTTCGATCGCACGTTTCTCGGACATTGTATTAACGAATGTGTATGGGACCTCCCTTTGCATATTTCGCTCGTTTAAACAAACGCATAGTTTCGTACTTGCAACGCGTAGTTTTGTAGTTCCGATCAATGCGATCAGCCTTTTGCCTCGAGTCTTGCCAAAGTCGCGTTGCCAATCGTTCCTCAGGATTTATTATTAGGCCTGCATCGACGAGATGCAGCTTCAGTTTCATTAGCGCGCAATTAAAACGCACGCGCACATGTTTGTTTATATATATTTGTGTTAATTTGTGTTATAAACAAATTAACATATACATTTTGATTTGATTTTTATTTTTATTAAAAATATTTTGTTAATAAATATATACATAAATATTTTGATTATCCGTGTATGCGATGTTTTGTTAACGATGCCGATACGCCTGTTGCAGATGTCGGAGTTTCCAGTGGACGGAAGCGAGAACGGGGACATGCATACCGTCATGGAGAACTTCCAAAAGAAGAACAATCTGGTGACCGGCAGGACGCACCACGTCACCCATCACCCGCAGGTCACCACCACGTCGTCGCAGGTGATAATTTTTTGCTTTTCCTTTCCCTCTTTACTTGTTTCTCAAATATTTGCTCATACTTCATTTCGAGACGCTGTCGCGATTCTTTAGGAAGAAGAAGAGATACCGTCACTCGCTCGCATATCTCCACAAGAATCGTCTACGTTTCGAGTATTTTATGTTAATTGACGTGCACAAGAGATATGACTTTTATTGAAATGGTTTTGAAAATTCACTGCGACATCTGTGTAAACTTTAAATCCTTAAAAAGACGGTCTTTCTTTTTATAAATAAAAAAAATTTATGACAGAGGATAGAGAGAGAGAGATAAAGAAAAGAAATTATAGACATATGTTTTAATCGTAAATTTCAAATTGAATCTAAATCGTAAATCACCCTTGCACTTTTGTATATATTTCTTTTATTAAGTCCAATTATACACATTAGCTACTAAATTATATTAAATTATTAATTCGGAAGGAAAAAAAAAATAAATGGAATTTTTTAACGCGCGTTTTTTTTTGGAATCGGATGTAAATTGAAGATCTAAACTCACATTCTTTTGCACACTTTGCACATCTTTGTGCATATTTAGCAGAAACGAGTCGCGTCGTGCTGCAATATTTATTTGGCCTCGCTGTTTCGGGGAAACGTGATCGTTGGCTTTGTCGCAACTGTTTCTTCTAATTCAACGAACGAGGATTACGCGGTCTTTAATCTCCGCGTTAGCTAGAATTTGCTGTCAAATCGTCGCGCCGTCTTTTTTTGACGCCCACACCTGAGACGAATTTCCTGAAAGTGTACAAGGAAATTTCGAATTATTCATCGATTATGATTGTATCGCGACAATCTGCTAAAAGCCTCAAAAATAATAATCGCCGTCATCGTTCATTCAAGTTAATCGATTCGCCTACCTGACAACGCTTTCCGTTCTTATTCGTTATTTAAATTATTGTTTTATTTTCCAAGTTGCAAAATTCTCAGAAAAAATGTAATATTATTATTCGTCATTATTAATAAGTAATTACTAAACAATTAATATTCGATTCCAATCGACAAATTATTTAACTTAAATCTTGCTTCATAAAAAGCGCAAACACAGCACTATTTTCTGCTAAATATTGTATGTAAATGCAAAATCTTGTGAATCGAATCCAGCGTTGTTCGTGCAAAATTTCGACGACACACGTGACTTCGATATTGCGGTTCAACGTCGAAAAATGGCTCTGTTTTACGAGCGAAATCATTTGTCGGTCCATCTCCGCCGATCATCGTGTAATTAGAAATCACGATCGACTGACGCTCGAATGATCATAGGCATTTACGCAATATGGCCGCCCACGTGCATTTTTTTCCATTAGAAATTAATTCCATTCAATCTCCCGGTGAACCTTGATGTCGCGTTTCAAGGTCCTTTCTCTTGACGTTTTCTCGCTTTCGAGAGAACATTGCCTCTTTCTAAATTTACCGAGCCCTTTTCGTCTCCAGTCGCCTTAGCCGAGTTATCTCGCGCCTCGTAATGACTGCTGGCCGACCGCCAACAGTCATTGCTATGGTATTACTCTCATATGCACAAATACTGTTTACATTTCTCCTTTTGAATCTTTCTCAAAGAATTGTTTCTTTGAGATATATTATTTCAATTTCTACGAAACAATTTAACTTTGTAATGCAAAACTTTTGTATAAAGGTTTATTAACGTTGTCGAACGAAATTGAAAATAAAATATTGCACGGAAAAATTTTGAAGTAAGTTTATATTAATAGACTTTATAATATATTTAAAAATATATTTTTTTAGAAGAATTTTTAAGCTAGTAAATTTTATTTAAAATATAACAGAAAAATGGCGAAGTTGTCACACATATATCTAATAATATTTTAATTAATTTTATTGCTAATTATTGCTTTAAGCGATAATTAAGAATTTTCTCTCACATTAAAAATATATGAAAAGATTGTTTTTCGTATATTTATTATGTTAAAATAATATATATTTTAATATTATACTTTAGTACAAGTGTACTTATTTTTTAAATTCAAGATAAACAGATTTATTCTACGATCATTAATTTAGAAAATAAAAAGGAAGGGTAGTTACTATGAAAGAGGCAATCTGTATATTAAACATATACATATATATATGATATATTTATTATTATATTTATTATTTTTATATTAGATTGATCGAAAAATTCAGAATCTTAAATAATCATCGTAAATAAATTACATATTATTATGAATTCAAAATGAAAGAAGAGAAAAGTGAAAGAGATATTGAGATAAAAGATGAAAGAGAGGGGCGAAACGAATGAGTCATCTTGCGCGGATCTTAAATAGAACGAAAACGGTTTTTGACTCGACAGATGCTGACGACAAACCAGAGCCAACGCCAGAGTAGCAGCACTAGTACTACTAGTAGTAGCAGCAGTAGAGTGGCCAAATCCTCGCAGAGGATCCTCACCTCGTCCTCGTCGAGTGAGATGAAGGCGAGCTCCATGAAGAGCGATCTGACGGAACTCAAGCGCGGCATCTCGGAGATGAAGAACATGTCGAGCAATTTTTCGCAACGGCTGCGCAGCAGTATGGAGAACCTCGTGGACAGGTTGGTTCATTCTCAAGCCGATCAACAATCATTGAAATTAGATCTAACTTTGTATTGTAGATTAGAATGACTTCCGATTGTCGAGAAGAAATTTAGTGTTTTGAAATAGTGTTCGATAGAAATATTTCGAACGAGTGTTTATAAGGAATACATGTGTTATGTTGACTGTTTTGCGAAAATGATATGTGATTTTGCGTGCTTTTCTCATACAAGAAATTGATATTTTTAGAACATTTTCGAGTTTGCCAGTACGTGACGAATCTAATATTCATCGTCATATTATGTTTTTAACTATTTCTCACACACATAGCCTCCGCGTAGCTCTATTTTCAAAATTTGTTTACTATTTAAATACAATTGTACTATTATATATTTTTTTAAATTGGATGCCTAAATATAATGGACTATTTTTCGACATTTGCTTTTACAATACTTAGTTTTTTTAAAATAATATTTTGTTAGTCAAATATTAAATAAAATAAGACTTTTATTATATAAAATCGAATAATAAAAGGAAAAAAAAGGATTTTTATTATATAAAATCGAATAATAAAAGAAAAAAAAATAACGTGTTTAAATATTCGGTTGCTAAAAATTCGTCGATCTAATTTGCAGTAAATAAAAATTGAAAGGCTTTAATTGTAAGTAATAATTCTAGAAATAGTTAACTTCATCTTCCGTTAAAATATCAGAAGTTCCCCGCCTTCAACCTCTCGAGTTACTAAAAAGTTCAGTGATTCATTTTCTTCGATGTCTAAAGGTTCAGACACGCGTTTAAGTTTCATAACTAAAACTTTCGCAACTGAAAGCTCTGAAACGCGTCAACGATGAATATTTGTATATGTATAATTCTGATTTGCGTGTTATTTTCGAGACGGTCGGATTATTTTTAACGCATTGCTCACGTGTCATTTTAAATACTTTGAAATGTGAGATAACGTTTCGTTGCGATTATATCACGTAGCGAAAGATAAATAAAGAACATTGTGTACAAATTTACTAATCTGCATAAAAATAGTCTAAAAATGTTTTGTCTGCTCACTGTGTATTTTACCAATCAATAGTAATATATTAGGTTTGAACACACACATATCGTTCTCGATAAACTGTGGTTCATTATCAATGATATACAAACGAAGAAATGATGCTTTTACTTGAAAATCGAGAATTATAGAATAAAATTACTTTAGACGAGAATTGTTTATAATATCAATTTTTTTAAATCAGAAAAAATAAATTTCTCTTATCGTTTAAATTTGGAATATATGAATATTAGTTTTATGTGCAAAATGCTTAACTTTTCTATGTACAATATATATTGTCTTAATTTTTGTTTAGCACATTTTTTTAAAAAAATTCTTGACTTATGGATTTATTTTTTAATTAATTTTATTTTGTTCAATTTTTATTTCACGTGTATGTGTCAATCATGCAATTATTTTCTGTGTGAATATCGAATAAGAATATACCATAAACTAATAAAGAGTTTGATATTACGGATTCTTTTTTATGTTTATTTTTCAGAGATGGCAATGGAT